ATATATATATATATTGTAATTCAATTTTTTCAACATTTTATCCATCAAAGAAATTAAAGATAAAGACAAGATTTATCTAACAAGACGTTTTTAATCTCTATTTATTTAATAAATAATTACATAAAAGGTAAAAATAATTGCAATAAATTTATTAATCCTAGTCTATGCTCATCATAACATCTGTGTGTGTTACTAAGTTATATGTTTTGAATGTAAAAGTATCACTGCAATGGCATTTATTTATATTTATTTTAAAAAGTACCTATTAATTCTTCCCTGTCGCAGGAAAACATTTCGCAGGAAATGCTTTCAAACACATTCTAACGGGATATGTACCTAACTCAGGTGCTAGATTCATTTAACTTTGCGAAATGCTGCCGAGAGATGCGAACGACGAGGTCATTGATCTTTGTGTCAGTGACTATGAGTAATTTAACCGTGAGTAATTTCACCGTGCTAAATTGGAGTACATTTCCGTTTGTTTTTCTGCCAAGCAAATTGCTTTATTTGCAACGAGGCATTACTTTTTCTGGAGTGAAAACTTATCATTATATAGACTTATGATTTCTATGAATAAATCAATATGTAAGTATTATGTTTTAAACCGATAAATTTTTATATGAAAATCTAAAAGAAAAACGTTACAATAAATAATATAAAAAATTATAAAAATTTTTGAATGTAATAAAAAAATTTGAAGTTTTATTTTCTTAATTTTTATTAATATTTTCTTAATTATTGTAAAATTTCTTGTAATTCTTTTTATATAATAAAATATAATTACAATAAAACATGAAAAATAATGTGGCTAATTATATAATTCATAATTCACTTCATTCTTAAGAATGTAAAGAAAAAAATATTGCAAAGGATAAAATCGCGAATACGAATAATATATATCTTGTCAAATAAATGATCATTACGATGACAATAATGAATACAAATCATCGGTGATTTTTATTCGTTTATTTAATGAGTTATTGATAAATATGTGAAAAGGAACAAAGTTCATTCTTCAATGTTTTCACTTGTTAAAAATACTCTTTTCTCTTAGATACATATCTTTATTTTTATTATTTTTTAGCCAATTTTTGTTAATTTATTTTCATTAATTTTTGTTAAAAGAAATTTATTTTCTCCTCCTTTTATTATCAAAAGAAATATTAATTCCCTATTCTCCTCTTCCCACTTTTCTAATCTCGCCTTTATTTTTAAGAATATATTTATTTAAATAGCTGTTCTCGTTTTGCCACTTGTATGCACCGCCAAGAAAAGCAAGATAAAGATTTCTCGCTAAAAATAAATCACGGACAACGGCGCGCGTGTCGATCATTCTGTGAGGAGTGGCCGCATCGTAAAATGATCCAACCGCTTGTTACGAGTTCATCATAACAATGTTACCTTTCCTTTTGGACCAAAAAGATAATTTAACACCACCGCCTGGCCTAATTGACCCGAGGCGATTCGTAAAAACTATACAAAACAGCATAACAACAAATCTCTTTATTACCTGTTGCGTCTGCTGGTATTCTGTTACGCTTAATGACGACTTTAAACTTTTTTCGCCCTCAAAAAATTATAAGATAAATAAAGGATAAACTTTTCAACAAAAATAGTAATAGATAGTTAAAGCGGATTTTTTCTAAATGAAACAGTACTGCCCTCTCATTACCGAATGGTTCTAGAAACTATGTTTAATCCTCAATTACCGTTAATACTTTTAAATTTTTCTCAAAAGCTACATGGCAAGATACAATTATCTTAAACTGAAATAAATAAATTTGATTCTTTTTCTCAAAAATTGTATTGGTTATATTTATATTTCTTCTGGAAATATAAATTCATCTGAAGATGAAGTTTCCCTGTTGGTAAAGTCGGAAAACTCCGGTTTAATTTGCGAACTTTATCACAGTGTGAATCAACTGTTTTCTTATCGCTTATGTCCCAGTTATTCCTTCTTTTTTCGCCTACATCTTTTTAATTCTCAAGATAACGTTTGTGATTTTTTAAAAGATAAAAAAAAACAAATTTATATCAATTAAGCAATATGACAATCCAAGCGGTAGTATCTTTTCAAAACAAGCAACAAATGATATTTTCAAATAAAATTATCCACAGATTGTTTTCATTTAGGAATAATGAGAATATTAAGGATGCATTGTATTTATATAATAAAATTTATAAAAAATTATTAAAATCAAAAAATATATTTATGTTTATATTATTTGGAACATAAAATAAATTGATTTGCTACACTTTAGAATAATGACTTGAGCGTCGATTTCACAAAAATTACTTTATTTATGTGACAAAAATTAATGTTGTAATAGTAAAAGTTATATCGGAATCTATGTAAACGTTTCAAATTCAGTAACTCTCATTAAATTTAAATTTTACTATGTACTGTAATTTAGTTCATAAAGTCGTGATGATCCACTAATAATAAAAAAATAGTAAAATGTGATTCAAAATTGTATTAAAACTTAATATAAAATTTTCTCCGTGTATAAGATACAATCTTCTCTTTCAAATCAATGTAAATGTAAGAAAATAATTTCTAAATTCAGTAAATTATGTTTAGTTTTTACGCGAATGTTAAAAAAAAAAAAAAATAGAATAGTAGAACGATCTATAAAATTTTAATACTTTTTCCAATGATTTTCATGACTCAGTAATATTTATCGTTCACACTGCACCAAACGAACGAAATTAATGCAACGTCGAGGCATTCGTATGTCGCGAATTTGCGTCATACGAATGCATTGACTAAAATTATAGAATAAATGGTAATTCGTTTTCGCATCGTTTAACATCACATAAATTAACTGATGAAAATATAATTTCGAAATTTTTAAATCAAACACACATGAAATGCGCATGTCAAATTTTCATCATTGAAATCGGCGCAGCTTCACGTGCCAAGTACTTGAATACGCATTCAAAAAATCCGAGAGGAGTACATCCAGTTGACAAAGGAACTAATGGAAATTGCCGGTAAAATAATCGTCTTGGACTTAATAATAAGCTGTCGAGTGTTCCGAAACGGAACATTGCGCGTCATGACAAATGCATCTTCCGATCTTGGGGCTTACGTCACCGGCTACTTCGAGATTTGCGGCGCAATTTTGCGCGTTGCATTAAATTAGAGCAAACATAATTCATGTATTAAAAATAACAAGTTTTATCGATTTCGTTTTCCTAATTTTTATTTTTCCCATTTCCCATTTTCGCTTTCATTCCAATTCGAGGAAACAATGTTTTATAAATCTTTAAACTCGATGTCAAGCGAGAAATATCGTCATTGTTCATCATATCATCATTGTTCGTATATCTAATCGATTATTCCAATCGTAAATGAATTCAAAGTCCAGTCGACGCGAAAATACATAGCGCGAAAAAAATTAAAAAATCATTATATGACCGCGTCAAGAATCTTGATATCTTGAATGCATAATTTTATTTAAAAAAGTTCTTTATGTAAACTACCAGACCTTTTTTTTTATAAAACCTTCTGTTTCACAACCAGAAACTAATGCGTTCGTATCAAGACAAACTTCAAAATTTATCGATAATAATCAAATCATCTATCAATCAAATCGCAATCGCAACTGTAATCATAATAATATATACAAACAAGACCATAAATTTTTCTCCATCAGCATCATTCAGTGTATGCAATTACCATCAATCTTTTTATTGAACATCCTTCATTTGTTAAAATAATTCGTCGCTTGTTTCGATTCGTATGCTGATAATTTCGGACCGAGACATGCTCGGTCCGACACGCTCGCGGAGGGACCGTCTGTTTAAAAAGAAGACAAGGACCGAGAGAATCGGGAAATTACACTGAGATTCGCATTCGCGAAGTGCATAATAACAAGCAAAAAAGGCAACAGAGTGCGATCTTTCGGCGATCGATATCTCCCTGTTGCCGCCCAGGAGTCCCGGGATGGAGTGGCACCGGCGGGAACGGCCGGTCGTTCCTCCCCCGCGAGTGTCGGCGCTTCGGGTTGCTCGAAGTCCCGACACAGGACGTCTCACCTGGTCAATCGGTAATCCGACGAGATCCGCAAGCCAGGAGAACGTGCGAAAACCGTCGTAATAGTCGTGGTCCATGGCCGCGGCCATTGTCAAGGATTTCGCCGGGAACGGTCCAATTCGTGATTGCTAGGACGTCTCCGACTACGAGGCGCGACGAATAACGCGGTGACGCGAGGAGAGGGTGGAATCGGGAACGAGCCAACAGCTCTCAGAACTGAACGTTCGCTACGGATATGCCAATATCGCAAACGCGTTCCCGAGCATGCGTATAAAAACCACACGCGTTCGCAGACGGCCGATTGCGAACTAACAACTAACTGAAACCAGAGCCCAGAGCACGCGCCGGCATTCAACCGGAGGTGCTCATATCGCGCGTCACGCGGTCGCCGTGGACCAATCGGCCGCGAGCGCGAGCGGTTTATACCATAAACAATATGTTTATGTGTTAAATGTACGGATGGACCGTCGTAGGAGGGTGAGGAAGCGAACGGGATTGTTATATCGGAACTTTTCGACGAATCTACCGTTCGAAGTCTCGATCATGCAATTGATCTCGATTTATTATTAATGCGACTATCTGAACTTGTGAACAAAAAAAAATACTCTCTGTTCTTGACTCGGGGTTTGTACATGCGCGTGTCTGGTACGAGCATACGCTGCGTTCTTTTTTTTGATAAATTAAAAAAAGAATTTATGCATTAGTATGATGAATATCATGAATTATATGATTATATAATTATATAATTGCCTGTCAAATATGTCTTCAAGCACATTAAGAATGCAAATTATGAAATTTACATATCATATAATCTTGTTTTATATTCTTTATATGTGCGAGAAGATACCGAAATTTCAAAAATTAAATTTTCTTTTTCTATACTGATATAAAATAAAAGCGAGCTACAAGTTTGGAAAAAATTAACTGACTAAATCTATATGAGACATATTCAAATATTAAAAATATATTTTACACAACAGACTTTTTACATATATTTGCTTTTATTTCTTATATTTGCGACAAGTTGAGATATATTTCAAAAATAATTTACATTCAATCTTATTATTGCACAGGTACTATCCTCATAATACATGCTCTCGTTTCTCTCTTGTAATACATACAATATGTACATATCTTTTTAGATGTATTCTCGAATTCATATAATATATACGCATCTGAGAGGCATTTTAAAATATCTACGAAAGTATGTCGCAAATTGTCAAATTGTACGTCATCTTAAACTATATGCGCGATGATCGCACTCATTTTATTAAAGCTAGCGCTACAGCATGCTCATAATTCTTGATACGTAATTTGCAACTCGTGATTCGCAGAAGTCCATCATTCATTAGTATTCTATAATTTTTTATATTATTTGTAACTTGTATAATTCATTGTTTATAGTTTTATAAGTCATATTGTACTGAGATAAATTGTACTAATATGATTGATTTCGAGAAACTATTTCACTAGGAAATTTGTATAAATAACAAATTCGAATGAATCCCTATTGCTCATAAATTTCGTATAAACAGCGAACTGCGAATCATGAATTGTGTCGAATCTGGCGCTTGACAAAACTCGACGAACACACTCGTCCGAATAGATACTACTACTTGTTAAATTGATAGTTACAAAATATATGCGAGACAAAAATATACAAAATAGAATGTTTTACATTTATAACATTAATAAAGTTTTACTGTAATATTGAGAGAACATCAGAATTTAAATTAAGAAAAGCACTTTCTTAATGGAAGTCCTTTTCTTATATAATTTGTCGAGCCCTTATTGTTATTATTCAGAATTTCCAATATTTACACTGTACATTATTGGAAAACTTCTAAATATTTTATACTCTCATTAAGTATAAGAATTGTATCTACACAATTTTTAATATTAAATAATAGGCTAATTATAACAATGATAAGTCATATGTGATAACTCGAAAAGAGTTATGGGTTAATCAACATTTTAATAGCACACAATAACTATATTGCCTTGTCAGTCATATGCATTAAATGATTTAATCTATATATTATAATTTTTTCTATTGCTAAATTAGTCAGTTATAAAATCAATTTAAAGAAATATTTTATTGTTCTATTAATATATAATTTCATTTTATTAATTGTGTAAAAAATTAAAGACATATATTATTTTTTTCAGATTTTTAATAAATTAGAAAAGAAAATCAATTTTCTCTTGAGTAAAAATTTCATTATAGATTCTATTATCATATCTTTTTTTGAGTATATTGAGTATTAAATTATCATTAATTTGACTAGTAAATAAGATTTTGTTATTTACAGTCTCAAAACTTAATAAACTAAAGCACCTTAATTATTAAAATTAACTAAATATAATCAGAGAAGATCTCAGCAGAGAAGAAAAATCAAATTCAATAACTATCTAAAATTATCAGACAATGCATGATTTCTTCCGTATACATACCATGTATTGCTTTATTTGATTTTTATTTTATGTAGTTTCAACTTAAAACCAAGTAGTTCCGACAGCACTCCTGAGAGGGCGGAGAGTAGTACTACTTTGGTAATAGTGTATAGATATGGATTAGCCGAGAGGCCAGAAATTTTGAATGGATTCTCCAATTCCTGTAAGATATTTCCGCAATTATTTCATTCATTAAACTAATTCATTATTAGACTTATAAAAACGCATACCTTTATCAAGTCAGCCGCCAATTTTAATACGCTATTTGCGACCATAAGCTCTTCTTTTTTATGAGGCTTTTGTTCAATTTGTAAATATAAATTGATCTAAAAATTATATCGAAAAATGAGAAAATTTCGGAAAAGAAATCATTGGAATAATATACAAGTCTATAATACCTACTTGTTCAGTTATTAAAACTGAAAGATTTCTATATTTTTTGTTAATCTTCGTTCCTAATGTCATAAATCGTAATATAAATATTCCAAGTGAGAAGCTCCAGAATAATGCTTCGACATTGTATCTTGAGTGTAAACTTTCGAGATCCTAAAATAAGATTCGCAATATTAATAGAAATAAACTCGCAAAAATAAACTCGTTAAAAAAAATATATATATACA